TGCTCCGTGCCTCAGTTTCCCCTCTGGGCAGCGTGGCTCAGCCCCCAGGCGGTGTCACCGGGGCCGGGGGCACTGAGGGCGGGCTCTGTGCTTGCAGTACCGCGTGGGGCAGCTCTACACCATCAGCAAGCACAGCCACCAGGAGAGCGAGAAGGGCGAGGGCGTGGAGGTGGTGAAGAACGAGCCCCACGAGGACCCCGTGCACGGCCCCGGGCAGTTCACTGAGAAGCGAGTCCACCTCTCCAGGTGAGCCTGGGATGGCTGCAGGGGGCACTGCGGGGGGGGCATGGTGGGCAGCATCCTCCAAAATCCCTGGGGAACCTCCTTCCTGGGTCCTGGACACGCTGCAGAGTGGCTGATTCCCAGGGTTATTCCCACTATTTCCTGTGCTCCCTCCATCATTTCCCGGGGCTGCACCCATCTCCTGGGATGCACTGATCTTGGGGGGCTGCACCCATCTCCCAGGCACCCACCCATCTTCAAGGGCTGTGTGTGTGTCTCCCAGCGGGGTCCCCAAGTCCTGGGGTGCACCCATCTTTGGGGTGTGCATCCAATTTTGGGAGCTGCCCTTATCTCTCAGGGTGTACCCATCTCCTGGGGTGCTCTGATCTTGGGGGGCTGCACCCATCTCCTGGGGTGCACTTGTCTTCAGGGGCTGCACCCATCCTTGGGAGCTTTGGGTGCACCCATCCTAGGGGTTCACCCCTCTCTGGGGGCTGCCCTCCTCTCATGGGGCGCACCCACCCCAGGACATGCACCCACCTCGCAGGGGTGCACCCCCCTCCCTGGTGGGCACCCAGCTCTGGGTGCTGCTGGGTGCCTGATGGGGGGCTTGGCAGTGCCCTGGCCCCAGGGGGTGTCACCGTGGCCCCCAGCAGCACTGTCCCCATGTCCCCTCAGCTGCCTGCGGGCACGGGCTGCTCCCCACCAGGAGCTGCTGGTGTGAGACAGGTTATTTTTAGCTGCAGCACTCACGATTCCCCTCTTGCCTGAAATTTATTTATAACACCCGAAAATTAATCAAAACTCACCTCCAGAGCCCCCAGGGGGCCCGATCCTGCCGGGGGGCTGGGGGGGTACAGGAGCACATGGGGGGCTCGGCCCTGGGGAGGTGGAGGGGCCCTGGGGAGGGGGTGAGGGTCCAGGATGGAGGGTGGGTGTTTCTGGGGGAGGGGGTCAGGGTGTCTGGGGAGGAGGTGGGGAACCTGAGGGCACTGGGGTGGAGATGAGGAGTTGGTACAGATCCCTGGGGGGTCCTGGTGTACAGATGAAGGTGCTGGGAGGTGGCAGGGGTCTCTGGTAGGGGAAGGCTGGGGCACTGGGGAGGGTCCTGGGGAGGTAACAGGGGTCCCTGAGGGTGCTGTGAGGGGCAGGTGATGATCCAGGGGTGTAAAGAAGAGTCCTGGGGAGGTAACAGGGCTCCTTGGGGGTGTTCTGAGGTACAGGTGAGGGTCCTTGGAGGCATCCTGGAGTGGAGATGAGGGTGAATGGTGAGGAGCTGGGGCAGGGGTGAGGGTCCTGGGGAGGTGACAGGGGTCCCTGGGGGTGTCCTGATGTGCACACGACAGTGTTGGAATACAGATGGAGGTGCTGGGGAGGTGGCAGTGGCTCCTGGAAGAGGTGCTGGGATGCAGATGAGGGTCCTGAGGTGCAGGTGAGGGTTCCTGGGGTGGAGGTGAGGGTGCCAGGTAGCAGGTGGGGTTCCTGGGGTGGGAATAGGGATCCCAGAGCCAGGCTGTGTTTGGCAGTGCAGGGCTGGGTGGCACCAGCCATGTCCTGTCCTGAGGGGGTCCCCTGACACGGTGCCCACAGCAAACTGCCGAGCTGGGCACGGGCAGTGACCCCACGCATCTTCTACATCACCGAGAAGGCCTGGAACTACTACCCCTACACCATCACAGGTGAGCCTGGGCAGGTGTGGGACGGGCACCCCGGGCACCCTGTCCCTGCCCAGTGGGGCAGGGCTGCAGAAGCAGCCCCCAGTCTCACTGCTCCCTCTCTCCCCTGTGATATCACCCGGTGATGCCACCCTGTGATGCCCAATGTGCCATGGTGTCCCTGCAGAGTACACGGTAAGGGGCTGGCATGGGATGACCTGTGCCCTCCCCCAGCAGCTGGCTAGGGAGGGGGTGCTGGGGCATTTTTGGGGGTGGGTGTCCTTTGGGATGGACATCCTTTAGGGGTGGGTGTCCCTCAGGGTGGGTGTCACCATGGGGGTGTCCTTAGGGCTGGGCACCCCTCAGGGCAGGTGTCCCCTGGGGCTCAGATTTCCTTGGGGCTGGGAATCCCCTGGAGAGGGTGTCCTTGTGGCTGGGTGTTCCCTGAGGATGAGCATCCGTGGAGGTGGGTGTCCCTCAGGGGTGGGTGCCCTTTGGATGGGTGTCCCTCAGGATCAGTGTCCCTGGACTGCACATCTTTGGGGATGGGCATCCTTGGGTGTGGGGTGTCCCTCAGGATGGGCATCCCTGGGAGTGGTGTCCCTCGGGGCACAGCTGACAGCCACTCCCTGCAGTGCTCCTTCCTGCCCAAGTTCTCCATCTACATCGAGACCAAGTACGAGGACAACTGCGGGGACAGTGAGAATGTGAGTGAGCAGCGCAGCTGAGAACTGGCAAACTCATCACCTCATGACTTGTGGCCTGTGTCACTCACCCTCCCTCTCCTCCCCAGATCTTCCACAGTGACAAAATCCTTGGTGATCACGAGGTCTCTTTCCTGGACATCGCCTTCGATGAGATCCCTGAGCGCTACTACCGCAGCCTGGAGGTACCAGGGTTGGGGATGACCCCTTGTCTCCTGTCCCAAGGGGGGACTCATGACCCTGACGCTCCCCATCCCCCCAGGACCCCCGTTTCTTCAGCTCGGCCAAGACGGGCCGGGGGCCGCTGCGGGAGGGCTGGCGCCAGCACACCAAGCCCATCATGTGCTCCTACAAACTGGTGAGCGTCAAGTTCGAGGTGTGGGGGCTGCAGACACGCGTGGAGCAGTTCGTGCACAAGGTGAGGGGGGCCCAAGGGGGGCTGGGGGGCACTGGGGGGGCAGTGACAGGGTGCTGACCCCGTGGTGTTGCAGGTGATCCGGGACATCCTGCTGATCGGGCACCGGCAGGCCTTCGCCTGGGTGGACGAGTGGTGCGGTGAGTCCGTGGGGGCACATGGCAGGGAGGGTGCCCATGGAGGGAGGGGCTGCAGGGCAGACTGCTGATGCCACTGACCCCACCACAGCTCCTGTTCCTCCTCTGCCTGCACTGCTGCCTGCATTGCCTGTGCTGCCTATGCTGCCTGCACTGCCTGCATTCCTTACCCTGCCTGCACTGCCTGCATTCCCTGTCCTGCCTGCACTGCCTGCACTGCCTGCACTGCCTGCACTGCCTGCATTCCCTATCCTGCCTGCACTGCCTGCTCTACCTGCACTGCCTGTGCTTCCAGCTCACCCCTGCCTGCACACGCTCCCCTGCACCCCTCGGGGAGGATGGGCAGAGGGGTCCCAGCACCCTGCCTGTGCTGCCTGCACCCCCATTCTGGCAGGGACATGCGCTGCAGGCGACTGCCACGTGCGGGCACGGGGACGGGAGCCCTGGGTTTGGTGACAGCTGGCAGTGGGTGCCAGGCCATCCCGGTGAGTGGCTCTCTGCCTTCCAGACATGTCCCTGGAAGAGGTCCGGGCCTTCGAGACTCAGATGCAAGTGGCCACAAACCAAAAGCTGGGGAGCCAGCACCCCTAAGCCCCTCTGCCTGCCGGGGACAGACACCCCGGACCCCGCCTTGCTGCCTGGGGGTGGGTGCAGGCAGGGGGGCTTGTGCCCCCCCTGCACCCCGCGGTGGAGTGTCCCCCCTCCCAGCTGCCCTCCCTGCGTGTCCCCTGCCTGCGCTGCCTGCGCTGCCTGTCCGACCCTTCCCGCCTGCTGTCTGGGCTGGCGCTGGAGCTGGGGAGCTGGCTGCGCTGCCCAGCATCCCCTTCCCTGCCCGTCCCCCTGTCCCTTCCTGTCCCCCAGCTCGGTGGGGAGCCGGGGCGCGGGGCGCAGGCTGCCCGGGATGAGGGGTGCCGGAGGCGGCCGTGCCGAGCGGCCCCAAGCCCGGCTGTGCTCGGCAGGGATGACGATGGAGGAGGTGCGGCGCTACGAGCAGGAGACGCAGGAGGCCACCAACGAGCTCATCGGCCTGGTGGCACCGGCCATCTCGGTCAGCGAGGTGGGGCAGCCCACGGCCACGCACTCGGCCCCTGCCAGCGCCCCCTCCACCCCTCTCAGCGACGAGGCCCCCGAGTTCCTGGCTCCCCCCAAGACTCGCCCGCGGAAAAAGTCGGCGCCGGAGACCCTGACGCTGCCCGCGCTGCGGGAACGCGCTGGGGCCGAGTGACGCCGGCAGCGCCGCTCCGTGCTGGACTGTGCCAGCTCTGCCGCCCGGCCCGGCCCCGCCGACAGGCGCCGAGCCCAGGGAGGGACCCGCACCCGCTGTCAGGGCGCTGGCAGCCCTGGAGTGTGCTGGCCTCCCTGAGCCACCGTGGGTGCCCACTCGGGTCAGTGCCACCACTGCCATGCCAGACCCGCTGGCTGCACCAGGAGGGGACGCCAGGCCAGCGCGGGTCCCCGGCAGCGTCGGGCGATGCCGTGGGAGCTGCTTCCCTCGACTCCGCCCGCCCCGGTGTCCGCAAGGGCCACCGAGGCTGGCGAGCAGTGGGGAGGTGCCAGCTGGCGCCCATTTGCTGTGGCCGGGCTGGTGGCCGGTGCCAGGCTGGAGCAGTGCCCTGCAGGGTAGGCACCAGCGTGGGGTCACGGTGAGGGTGACAGTGACAGCCAAGCCTGGGCTGGGGCTCCCCACCAGACCCCAAGGGGCTGCACAGCCCCGTGCATGGCTGGTCCCACAGTCAGGGTCCCCTTCACTGTCCCTCCAGAGGCCGTGGCTGCTCGAGGGGGGCTGGGGTGGGCTCAGCCCTTTGTTTTCTTTAGGAAAACAAAGGCCTTTTTGGAAATAAAGCTCGAGACACGGCAGCTGGTTGCTAATAGTGATTTATTTGGTGCTGTGGAAGGGGTGCCATGCCTGTGCTGGGGTGCTGCATCCCCCAGGCCTCCATGTGTGCAGTGAGGGATTTCGCTGATCCCAGGATGCAGAGGGTCCTGCATGGGCTGCGAGGCTCTGAGGGTTGAGTAGTCAAGGCAGGCAGGAATCAACCCAGCCCTGGGCCAATGCCCCCAGCCACAGCAGCAGCACTGGGCTCTCCTCCCTGCCAGCCATCATCATCCTCCAGCTCCTCAGCCCCTGGCACAGCCTCTGCTCCCAGCAGGGCGATGTAGTGGGAGCTGCAGTAGACGGGCGGCTTGTTGGGGCTCGAGTAGACCTGCTCGGGCCGCAGGGAGGCAAAGGGGTTGCTGGCATAACCCACAATGTGCATCTCCAGCTCCACAAGGATCTGCAGGGAGGCCTTCAGCTCCTGCTCACTGCCAGAAGAGAGAACAGGCACAGTGAGTGGGTGTCTGTGCCGGCTCACCGGGGCTGTGGGTGGGGCTGTGCTCACCTGTACACGGTGAAGAGCACGGGCAGGCGATAGTCCCGCAGCAGCAGCAGGGTGGGCAGCCAGCCCGCCAGCAGGTCTGGGCAGGCATGGAAACCTGTGGGGACACAGCCATGAGGATTCCACCTCTTTCCCATCCCACCGTGGCCCCGGGGAAAGCTGGCTCCAACTGCATCCACTCTGTGCTGGACACCCCAAGTATGCACTGAGTTTGGCAGCCCTCAGCAAGGTGGGGTCTGGCTTCCCATCAGCATATGGGGCACCCCATACTCTGTGTCCGGGGCTAAGCCACAGCACCAAGACCTGAAGGGAAGAATGTGTTTCACCTGCAGGTGGGTGACACAGGCAGGGGACAGAGTGCCTGGTGGGGAGACAAAGCAGCCATGTCCCAGGGGGTCCCCCCAGCTGCCCATTGTGCCTTGGTGCAAAGCCCTGAGTACATCCCAGGCCACCTTCAGGCCCAGCCACAGGTGCTGCCAGAGTGCTCAGGGTGGTCCCTGAGCCCATGTGCCCCTAGATGTCCCTATCCCTGCAGCAGGGTGTGAGGGTCTGACCCCCTCATGACACAGGCACTCACCGGGGTGAAAGCCCACCACCAGGTCAGGAGGGGCGGCCAGCTTGGTCTCCACGTGGCTTTCCCAGAAGTCGTGGTAGAGCCCCTTGTAGCTGCTGAGATAGATCTTTCCCCGGGGCGCCAGCGTGGTCAGGGGTGGCCTCATGATGGGTCCATCCACCACGTCCACCCCCACCATCACCATCTCCACGCCCTGGTGCCCCGGGAACATCCGCGTCAGCTCATCATAGTCCGTCAGCCGCGTGTTGAGGGTCTCCACGTGGGAAGCCCCCACCACGTGCACGGTGAGGGGCCTGGTGAGGGGGTCGATGCCGAAAAGCCGCAGTCCCAGGCCGATGGTGAGCGGCCGCGAGTGGAAGTCGGTGACCAGGCGCCGGATGGATTCCCGCAGCTCCGCGTCCTCCGGCCGCGGCTTCCCGGCGTTGGCCCACAGCAGGGTCATGTAGCGCCCGGCCACGATGGCACCCAGCTTCTCCTCCAGCTGCTCCTGCATGGAGAACCAGTCCTCCCAGCCCTTCACGTCCCAGGCAGGTTTTGTCCAGGTGTCCGTGGGAAAGGGGATGTCTCCTGGGGGGTCAGGAGGGTACAGCAGTGGTGCCACAGCCCAGGCTGCCTGTCCCACCTGTGCTGTGGGAGAATGGACACCACATCCCACCACAGGACCTGTGCAGCCCAGGATGGGGATCCCAGGGTGACACATGCCTCACCTGTGAAGATGAGCCACTCCACCAGCCGGTCCAGGGCCACCAGCTTCAGCTTCTTGCAGAACTTCTTGTGCAGCGGCCAGTTGGCACGCTGGCACGCCACGCCACAGTAGTACACATTTTGGCACCTGGGCAGACAGGCAGAATGCCCAGCCATGGGGAGGGGGGGCACGATCCAGCCCACCCAGCCTGGTTCCCTGCCACCCCCTCTCAGGGTTGTGTCACTGTTCCTAGGGGTGCCCAGTGGCTGGAGCTGGGCACTGGGGTCAGACACCCCTCACTTCACCCCAGCCAGCAGGCTGGAAATGAGGGATGGATCCATCCTTGTCCCACCAGACCATCTCCCCACCATACCTCTTGCAACGCCGGAGGCTTTTGGGGTCCGGGAGGGCATCGGGGAGCTTCTTGCACTCAACACAAAATTTGAAGGTGTCTTCCATCTTCTGGAACATGTCAAAATATGTCCGGATGCCGAAATCGCTGCCGCTCTTCCTCCCGTCCATGGCAGACCTGCAGATGCCAGAGGGTGAGCAGAATCCAGTCTGCTGCCACAACTGGGGGGCTGATTCCTCTGAGGCTGCCAAGATTTTTAGCTCCAGCCAGGAGCATCCTGGCCTGGGTGGGGACAGGGAGCCAAGCACTCTGGAGGGGTCCACCCAGCAGCCCATCAGAGCCCCCGGTGGGCTGAGCCGGGAGGGTGGGATGAGCCATGGGAGCTGCTCCAGCTGCTGGGGGCCACACGGGATGCTCTTCCCGGAGGAGGGGGTGGGGAATAGGCACCCATGGGTGCTCACTCACTTGTAGTCCTCATAGCTCTTCATGTTGAGCTTCTGCAGGATGACGTGGGACAGCCCCGGCACGTTGCGGTCCATGGCCTGGAAGCCCAGCGAGTCCACATCTGGAGCCCTCGCCGCTGGCTCCTCCGGGGCCTTCTTGGAGCGGCCGGTTTTGGGGGCAGCGCCTGCGTTTGGCTGGGCCGGGGTGGCTGCTGGAGAGAGAGGTGCGGGCAAGGAGGCCGGTCCGGGGGTCCCGGCGTGCTGCCGGGGTCCCCCGCGCCGCCCGCCACCCCCACGGCGCCTCCCGCCCGCCATCCCGCTCCGGTCCCGGCAGCGCCCGGAGATCCCGGGCAGTCCCGGCGCCCGCCACGTCCCGTCCCGTCCCGCGGCGGGGCTCAAATGTCAGCCCCCGGGAGCCGGCGGTGCAGACGGCCGCGGCCCCTCGGAATCAGATAGCGGAGCTATTCTGGGCATCCCCTCCCCGGGAACGGGCCAACCCGCTCCGGGGGTCCGGCTCCCGCCCCAAAAGCCGCGCTGGTGGCAGTGGGGTGCCCCAAAACCCTGTAGCAAACACTGCAAACCTTCGGGGGGCTGCCCAAACCCCTGGGACCCCTCTGTGACCATAGGGACACAAAGTCACTGCCCCATCCCCTCGCCACAGGGACCCCACCCCAGTCCGGACACCCCCCCTCCCACTGCCTCAGGGCCCCCAGCGGGGTGTGAGGGAGTGCCTGGGTGGGCACCACGGCCTGTGCCAGCCGGGGCGGAGGCCAGCAGTGGGCTCTGGGATGCAGAGCTGGGCACACCAGGCTGCAAAGGGGGACACGGTGGCCGGAGAGCACCGCCCGCTCACACGGGACGGCTCGGGGGGACCCAGCCCCACCGGGGGCTGGTGAGGGCTGCCCACACCCATCATGGCGGCGGCCGCGGCCTCACGGGCACGCCCCCAACACGCGGGGCTGGGCCGGGGTCCCGCGAGGTTTCGGGGGCCTGCGGGAGCCGCCGCGTCGCTGTGGTGACGGGACGCGAGCCCTCCGCCGAGTCGGGCAAGCCGCAGGTTCGAGCCCCGGCGCCGCACGGTTGGCTCCCGGTGAGGGGCTGCAGGATCCCCCCGGGGCGGGAGGGCCTCCAGAGCTGTGGGTGAGGGGCTGCAGGACCGTTCTGGGGCAGGAGAGCTTCCAGGCCCGTGGGTGAGGAGCCCTTGAGCCAGCAGAGGGCCTAGGCCCGGGGCTCAGGGGCTGTAAGTGCACCCCAGGTCGGGAAGACCCCCGGGGCCGTCGGTGAGGGGCTGCAGGACCGTTCTGGGGCAGGAGAACCTCCAGGCCCGGGGCTGAGGGGCTGCAGGACACACCAGGATGAGAGGAGCCCTGAGCCCATCAATGCTGCCCTGAGGGAGCTGCCTGGCCCTGGGGTGTGAGGCAAGGAGGCCGTGGGGTCCCTGGGGAGCCCTGAGGGAATCCCGAGGGTTTCACAAACCTGAGGAGCAGAAGGAGCCAGGTCCCCACAGCATTTGGGAGCTGTGAGGGGATGGCTGGTAGCCGCCAGCCTTTGGCCCATGGGGTCACCATTAACTTAAAAAGGGAGTAAAAGAGAGCCTGGGATGTACTGGGAGTTGAGACCAGCCTGGCACAACAAACCTTTCCTGGGAGCAGCAGCTGGGTGAAGCTTACAGAGATGGATAATTTTCACATTACATTTTTCCCAGTCCTCCCCCTGCACCTCGTGAGAGATTCGTCACTGCCAAAGCCCTGCACATTCAATGGTGTTTTGACAGCCAAGCCCTGAATAGCGCTTGCAGCCCGCACTGCTGTGTCCTGCAGAGGTATCTGGGAGAGGAATGGAGCAGTTTCATGTTTCTTTCCTCATTCTTTCTCCTGCAGAGCCGAGGAGGTCCCTGCGGGGCTGACTGGTAGGAAGGAGCCCGCTGCTGCAGCTCTTCCCAGTATGTCACAGCCAATACCAGTACAGATCACAGTCGTGAGTGCACAGGACCTGGTAAAGTTCTGAAAATATCTCTACTCATTTAATAAACAAGGCCAGAACAATTCTGTGTGCACAGGGATCCCCTGTGAGAGCAGGCAGGGGGTGATAAGGCTAAAGGAAGGAGTGGTGGGAGTATCAGAGGTTCAGCAATGCCACACTGTGGCTTCCTCCTCCCTGCTGAGGAGTTCACACAGAGGAAAAATCTTGTGAGGCACATAAATTGGGGAACACACCTCCCTAGTAGCAGGCCAGAGATAATAGGGTGAAATGCACCTCTCTGCCTCTTCTAACTGTATGGAAATGCAGGTTTTTTTAAGCAGAACACAGCAAAAATATGATATATGAGACAAAAACCTGTGGAAGGACCTCACCTTGGGTGTAAAGCCAGATTTTCATCCCAGCTCCAGCTGTTTAAATCATATTGAAAGCAGTAGGGTGGCTCTGGTTTAAAAAGGCAATGGATCCAGTTCAAGGCTATGAGCTGGTGCCAATCAAACCACCACTGCTGTGATTTCCATGTGATGCATCCAGCTGTCCTTAAAGTCTTCCAGAGAAACTGGCATTTGGGAGGGAATGTGGAGGAGAAGCTCAGCTCCTGCTGCAAGCAGAAAAAATGCAAATTCCTGCTCCTGCTCCAGCAGCAGACAGAAAAAGCAATCCAAAAGCACCTGCTTGAGGCTTTCACATTGTAGTATTGAAGTACCTCTTACACTGATGGATTCAGCAAACAGCAGCTTAGGTGAGGAATGAGGTGAGAGGAGGATAAACAATGCTGGGAAGAAAAGACTGCTGGATTGATTGCATCTGGAATGTTGCTTTGTGGTTCTGATTGCTCCACCGTGAGAAAGGGCTGTACAAAAGGGAGGGGGGGTTACAAAAGGGCAATAATCACAGCAACAGGATGAAAAAAAACCCGGCTGTAAGAATGTGGAATCCACTTCTAGCTATAAGTGTGGAATCTGCTTAATTAGAGGCAATGTAGAGAAGGATGAGAGAGGAGTCTTGGATAATTAATGGTACAGGGAAAGGTTAATTGGATTCTTCTGTTTAGCCATTCATAGGATGTATGCTCAAGGAGACAGTGAGAAGGGCTGAAAATTAAAACCAAGTGAAAGAGATCTCTTTTTGTGTAAGAACCAGCATGGAACTAATTACCCCAGTGACAGGGAGAGAGGGAGCTGAGGGTGGGTTAGGCATCCCTGTGGCTCAGCACTAAGGAAAAGCTGGGTTTGGGTACAATGGTCCTTGTGTTCAGCCACTTCTCTGTGGATTGAGAGCTAAACTGTGTTTCTGCTGCAAGGTGCCCTTTGGTACCTGCTGCCCAGCCCTTCCTGTGCTGTGGAGGTGCCCAATGCTGCCCCTGTGGGTCCCCACTGCCAAGTGCTGTGCCTTCACTGTCCCTCTCCAGCCCTGTTTAAGCCCCTCTGTTTAGACATTTGAAATTCAAAGTAAAGTCTGAATCTCCTCATCTCTGATTAAAGCAAGTGGTATGAAGGTGGTGTAACAGCGAATTGCAGAGCTCCCTAAGTGCTTGCTGGAGCCCTTCCTTTGATTTCACAGAATCATGTAGGTTGGAAAAGGCTTCTGAGACCATCAAGTCCAACCTTTAACCCAGCACTGCCAAGGACACCACTAAAGCATGTTCCCAAGTCTCACATGCACATGTCTTTTGAACACTTGTAGGGATGGGAACTCCCCCACTTCCCTGAGGAACCTGTGCCAGTGCCTGACCACCCTTACAGTGAATAAATTTTCTCTAATATCCAACCTAAACCTCCCCTGGCACAACTCGAGGCTGTTTTCTCTCTGTCCATTTCAGGACATTTTGCACCACACGACATCCACAGGTGTCCTGTGAGCTCATCCCTGTAGCTCAGGAGCTGCTTTCTTAGGAGACAGCAAAAGTCTCAAGCTTCCTGGAAGTACAAAAATATCAGTGGAGTATTTTGGGATTTGTTTTAGATGTGTCTTTCCTGAGGTGAAGCCTGAACCTCTCTATCTCCCTTGCCACAGCTCCTGATAATCTTTGGGGCATCACAGCATGGTGAAACAGGAAATTTCCCTCCTAAAGACAGGGAATGGTGAGGTCTCAGTGTGGCCAAGCTCTGCTCCTCTTCCTCATTCCTGTGGTGGAACAGGCTCCCACAAGTGAGCCCTGTGCTGGTCACTGACCTGAGCTGCTGCCAGAGGAACTCTGATCCTGGGATGCTGCTGCAGAGCCAGCTGCTCTCTGAGCTCTTTTTTTTTTTGACAGAAAACTCTCAAAAGCAACTTGCTGTTTACATTGGTGCGTGTGGAGTACAACGGAGCAGTGCTGGGAGACTCCTCCAAGACTCATGTGCTGCCAGATGGGACAGCAGAGTACGACTTCAGCACCAGCTTTGAGTACAGCCCCGATGGGCCCAACTCCTTGGATGTCCTTGTGCAGAAACCAGTGCTCTGTAAGTAGCTGGTGCCAGATGTCCCACCTTGGAGCTGGCTGCTGTCGCTGCAGGAGTCACTGGTTCAGGAATAGCACTTCAGCAGCAGTGGTGGGAGGTTCTCAGCACTTCTTGTCCATCTCTGCCAGCTGGAAGAATCCCCTTTCATGTTGGCCCATGCTCCTTTGGCTTTGCTGTGCTTGTCAGCCTTGGGAGGTGAAGAGGAGCTTGTGCCAAAGCTCGCACAGACCCTCTCTGGTGCCTGACCTGCTGGTCCAAGGAATTCTGCCAGCTCCTCTCTTTTTATCTCCCTAGTGACACTGCTAGAAGTGGCATCAAAGGACAAGAAAAAAACAGAGAAAATAGCTCCTCTTGCCCAAGCTGTGGTGGACCTTCTACCTCTGCTGCAAGGTACAGCATTGAGTTTTACAGCCTCCATGACCACTCCTTGCTCTGATCTCTGTTTATGGACCCCTGACTACAATTTATCTCCTTTGGACAAAGTAACCTTCATAGCTCTGCAAAATCTGACTCAGGGGGAGAGAGAGTAGCTCAGCATTCAGAATTCATTCAGAATGAAATCAAAATTCAGAACCATGATTTTGCCTCATGTAAGGTGTTCCTGCCCATGGCAGGGGGCTGGAACAAGGTGATCTTTAAGGTCCCTTCCACCCAGATCATTCCATGACTGTGATTCTTTGCAGAGGGTCTCACTTCAGGCTGCTCTCATTCCTGTTTCTTCCCAGGAGTTCGTTCACTGAAGGTCTTAGCTCCTTTGTATGCAGTGCCTGCCTCCCCATCAGCGAAGCTTTACCCTGAGGCCACGGTATGTGGAATTTGGAACTGTTCCTTCCCTCATTCAGCTCTCTGCTGCTTTTTAATGGGAGGGAGAGCATGACTCAGCTGCCTGGCTCATCTCGGATGTGGTACAGCCCTATATGTTACAGGCTTGGAGGCCTTTCCCGCTCCCTCTGACGTCTGTCCCTGCTTCCCTCTGATAGGTGAGGTCGTGCTGGGAAATGTTAATGTGTGCAGCTACCCAATTGCTCTGCAAAAAATAACAAAGATGGAAAGCACAGTACTGAAAACCCCCCAAAAGGCAGCGGCAGGGTCACCTGCCCAGCTTTATTAGCCTTCCTTTCTGCAGATGAAATGTCTGAGTCCATTATTGTACAAACTCTGAGTGCCTTCCCTACAAGGTCCTTATTCATTCAGCAGGTTGCAAAGTACCCAGTGACTAAAATAGGGAATGAAGTATGAGGCTGGGAAAATGTGTCCAATTTTGCTGCTGAGCTGCCTGCCTGCAGTGAGCACCGGGAGCAAACTGGAGGGGTGGATATCCCATTAACAGCTCTGTGTTTAAGAGGAGTTCACAGTGAGCAAGGTGGGGGGGCACTCATTAGGGAGGACAGGTAATAAATGCTGACCAGCTGGTTTTCCCTCACACACCATCCATCGAGGGCTGGGACAGGTAATTAAAGGCTGCACACAGAGCATGGAGATAGGGCAGAGGCAAAGCTGTGGCTTTCTGAATCACCAGGGGAAAAGCACCATTTTCCACCCTTGATGTTCTTTCTCTGTGGCTCCTTTCATGAGACCCTGTCTCTTTCTCCACAGCTCATTTTATGAGACCCTTGGGGCATGTGCCATACCTCAGCCAGGCTGTGATTTAAACAAACAAACACCACAATTGAGCCAAATTGGTCCTGAGATTCCTTTCCTGTGCTGGGCTGTTTTCTTATACATCGAAGATGAGGCACAAGATAACATTATATGTTCTGGCCTTGGATTTCTGCTTGCTTCTCCCTAAGAGTAGGCAAGCTATAATTGTTTACTGGCTCGATTTTATCTTTGTCTCACAGGCTGGCCTTGAAGTGATAGTGAGCACCAAAGAGCTCCTGCTCTCTGCCACCCAGTTCTCAAGTGGGAACCTCCTGAGCATCACGCTGGAGGCAGCTTATTCTGTCCCTGAAGCCTTTACTGCTGACGCCCAGCAAAACTACATGGCTTGCTTGCAAATGCCAGCAGCTGGTGAGGTGAGAATGGCCCAGGCACGGTGACAGGGGGTTTGGCTGGGTTTGGGTTGTTCCCCCACCCCATGGAACAAGTGTCCAGGCACATGGGGTGCACAGCTTCTGTGCTTGTGCACCAGCAGCCTTTGTTGGGAGGTCTCAGAGTCTCTGTGGTGTGATGTGTTTCTTTAACACAAACAAAGGTCTGTTTGGAAAGATTTGGATTCAAACTGGCAGGGTTTTTTCCACGTGGCTCTTTATTTTTATTCCATTCTTTGTATGCGTGCGGCGGAGTGCATTTTCCAAGCCAGGCACCCTGTACTGTTGCTTTGCTTTGTTATCCCAGCTTGGAGCAGCTGGCTCTTGCTCCTGCTCCTGTTAGAAATGCAAATCCTTTTTTTCTCCTGTCTCTCTAGAAAGAATTGCCATTGCTCTTCAAGAATGGCATCCTGAAGGCTGATGGTGAAAAAGAACCATTTCCCCGGCCCAAAAACTGGCCCCTTGGCCCCATCCTGGCCCCTGATGCTCTGAACATACCTGACTCCTTCATTGTTGGTGGGCCCTATGAGGATGAGGATGGAGAGCTCAACAAAAGTGAGGTGAGGAAGGACTGGCAAGTTTAGAAGAGAGCCAGGAGGGATGGAGAGACTTGGTAAGAGAGGGAGGTGGGTGGTCACTGTGCAGTGTCCAGCACAGAGGTGGTTCTCCTGGGGCAGCAGACATGCTGACTCACTGCTGGAGACATCCCAGGGGAGAATGTGGCAGGTCTGGTCCCAGGAAACACCCACATTGAGCTGGGTTATCTCCCTTGAGCCAGGCACTTAACGCTGATGGCGTCTGCAGGAAAGGCTGTCAGCCTCTCTATGGGGCTGGCCTGCCTTTGGGCACTTGGACACCTCTGTCTGACTCACATTCTCTCCTGGGGACACTTTTGAGGATGATGCAGTGCAGGCTGGGGAGTTTGCTGTCCTGGCTTTGACTGCACGCTGTTTCTCACAGGACAAGGAATTCAGGACCCAGGCCGAGAGCTCGAGGAGAGTCGTGTGGGACATGGAAACTCGCTGTTTCCTGGATGCTGATGCTGTGGCCATGTAAGGGACCTGAGCAACACAGCACAGAACGTGCTCAGAATGACCTGAGGCAAGGGGCTGCAACATGCAGGTGATCTTGGACCACTTAGGGGTCAAACTGTGGCTCTGCCCCACCTGCCATGGCTGCTGTGACTGTCTCTTGGCCACAAGCATTCACCTGAGCAAGGGCACAGCTCTTGAAGTGCCTTGAACTGCTGGCAGCAGCTTTGTTCTGCTGTGCTGGGAAAAGATGAATTGTCTGGAGCTGCTATCTCCAGGCCACAAATGCTCTCTTCCTGCTGCCAGCAGCTGGGGCTGGGGGCTAGTCCCTGCATAGCTTGAAGGAAGGGGCAGCAGTTATGGTGAGCAGACCTGGACTAGAGTGGCATCCACAGCTCTCCTCTGAGCTGCTAATTAAGTTTTTACTGAATCCCAAATACGTTCAAACCTTTCACTCCATGTGGGCACTCTTCATTTGCTTTTTTATTGGATAAGTGTTGCCTTTAGCAGCTCCAGATACGCTCACGATCAGGATGAGTGTTCCATTTATCTTTGAATCCTGCTATTTTCTGGTCTCAGCTGCATCATGGCTGTGCATTTCACAGCCAAATTACTCCTTGTGTGGAAATACTCACTTCTATCTCATTTGATTTTTTAAATTCTTTTCTCTACAAATCCATCCACCTGCCTGCTGGTGTCAGAGTCACCAGCCACACTGAATGCAAGCTCAAGATCCACTTGCTCTGTACAATTCAGGTTTTATACCAAAGTTAATCACATTCCTTCTCACTTATTTCTGAAGTAATTGGGGGAGAGAGAAAGCCCAATGTGTTGCTCCTCACTGTTGTTTTAAAGCTGGCTGTGCCATAAATGCACACAGCACTGGGTAGAGCAGAAAATGTACCCAGCCTGCCACAAATCACAGTGTTCCCATGGCCTGAGGGTGTTTGCTGAGGGAATAGGGTGAAGCAAACCCAAGGGGAGCTGCTGGGGCACAGAGGAGGGTGGTGGGGCTCTCCAGCTGGGTTTCTGCATCTCCTCACTGCATCCTGCATCCCTTGTGCCCAGCCTGCAGAGGCGCATTGCCGAGTGCCGCCACTGGCCCGTGGAGCTCTGCAGGATGTCCTCAGGTGGCAAGGGGAAAACCAACAAACCTGACAAGGTAAAAGTGGGGTCTGGCTTGTGGAGTAGCATTGCATTAGCAGGCATTTTCCTCTTGAGGCCTTTGTGATACCAAAATCGGCCTTGAAGCTGCCAAAGTGAGTCAGAGAGCAGGAGGCTTTCTGAAAAATCAGCTTTATAGGGCTGTTAAACAATTACAGAGTCATATTTTTTCCTTATAGCTCTCACTGATGGTCTGTGGTAGCTCACTGGAAAGAGGACAGGGTGACTTTTAAAATCACAGAATAGTTTGGGTTAGAAGGGACCCCAGACTCCACCTCCTTCCAGCCCCCTGCCACAGGCAGGGACACTTTCCACTAGACCAGGTGGCTCAGAGGCTTGTCCAGCCTGGCTCTGAAGAGAATTAAAAGTAATTCACTGAGCTGATCTGTGGCCAGTGAGGTTTTGAAACAGCTTGAGGAGGAAGTTCTTGCATTCTTTCTCAGGTAAGTTATGCCTTTGCATCTAAACCTGGGTGGTTTAACAGAGAAACAGCCCCTTAGAGAATGGTTCTGCTCCTGGCAGATGATTGTGTGAGAGCTCCTAATCTATCCCAGGGCAAAGCCATATAAGTTGGTGTAAATCCCTTTCAGCACTCACAGTGCCAGGATTTTGCAGCTCTGATGATGATCCTTCTAGCTAGGCCTCCCACACCTCCTAAGCCACTTGGTGTCTGTCCAACCTGAGATGCACAATTCTGGTAGGGTCACCTGGATTTCTAACCACACACAGCTGATAATCTTCCAGCTGTACCTCAACAAGACCATCCTGAGGAACAGCTGAGTGCAGGAATTAGAGAGAAAAGCTGCCCCATGGGGATTGGGATAAAATTAATATTCTACATATGGAATGACTCCAGTGTATTCATCCAGGTTGTCTCGGCTGCGTGCCAGTGACAGAACCATGGGCTCATCAGGTGCATCAGTTTGCTGTGTGGCCTTCTCTTAATGAGATTGGTGACCTTGTTCCCTTAAGGAGAATAACAGCGTGTTCAGGATCTCAGTCCCTTGCTCTGTGTTTCCAGAAAGATGAGGACAAGCCGATTGCCTTCCACGGTGTGGCATATGTCAACATGATGCATTTGCTGTGCCCTGGGGTGACGCAGATCCGAGGGGCCTTCCGTGTCTTTAACTACGAGGACAGTGAGGTCTTTGAGAAGGTGAGAGCAGCAGGCTCTGCTCCAGCTCTGCAGCTGGCTTTGCACTGGGGGCTTGGGAGCAGGGACAGTGGACAGGGGGTGTTTGGGAGCAGGGACAGTGGACAGAGGGGGTTTGGGAGCAGGGACAGTGGACAGGGGGTGATTGGGAGCAGGGACAGTGGACAGAGGGGGTTTGAGAGCAGGCAGGGTGGACAGAGGGTGTTTGGGAGCAGGGACAGTGGACAGGGGGTGTTTGGATGCAGGCAGGGTGCACAGGGGGTGTTTGGGTGCAGGCAGTGTAGACAGGGGCTGTTTGGGTGCAGGCAGGGTGCACAGGGGGTGTTTGGGAGCAGGCAGTGTGGACAAGGGGTGTTTGGGTGCAGGGACAGTGGACAGGGGGTGATTTGGAGCAGGCAGTGTGGACAGGG